TTGTACCTTTGTAAAAAAATAATAATTATAATAATAATAATAAAAGTGAAAATAAAGAGATGTGGAATCATGCTATGGAAAGAATATAACAAAATAAACAGTATCTGCCTACACATTTTAATACATGGAACCTTCCTTTTCTTGATTTGTTCCACAAATAACAAGTAAGCACCTGCTTTTCCAGGCTGGGAAATAGGTAAAAGGGAATTTGTCCCTGCCCTCTGAAGTTTTAAGTCATGGTTGGAGAGAGAGGGAGGGCCAGGAGAGGGGAAATGTTGGCTGCTTTGGGAGGAGAAGCAAAGGCGGCTTCCTGGAGCAGGTGATATTTAGGCAGAAACTGAAGGATAAATAGGAGCAAGCAGGGCAGTGAGCATTTGGGGGAAGTGTGTTCGAAGCAGATAAAACTGCCTGTTCCCTGGCCTGGAAATAAGCCAAGATTAGAGCATAGACAGGGCAGAGATTAAGGGTATTAAAAGTCAAGGGCCTCACCCTGGAGTGGTTAGAGTGTCGGCCCATGCACGGAAGGGTCTCGGGTTTGATTCCCGGTCAAGGGCACGTGCCTGGGTTGCAGGTTCGATCCCCATGACTGGGGCCACGTGAGGGAGGCAACCAATCAATATATCTCTCTTACATGATTTTTCTCTTTCTCCCCCTCCCTGCCTCCCTTCCACTCTCTCTAAAAATCAATGGGGAAAATATCCTTGGTTGAGGATTAACAACAACAACAAAAAAAGCCAAAGGCCTTATAGATGAGAGCTGCCCGCACCCGCCTTCCCTGGCTTTATTGAGGTATGATTGATAAAAACTACGTATTTAGGTTGCACATGGTATTTTTAAGTTTCACTATGTGATGAAGGCCTTATAGATGAGAGCTGCCCGCACCCGCCTTCCCCGGCTTTATTGAGGTATGATTGATAAAAACTGTACGTATTTAGGTTGCACATGGTTTTTTAAGTTTCACTATGTGATGGTTTAATATATGCACACACTGTGAAATGATCATCACAATCAACTATTTTTTTTTTTTTTTTAGATTCCCCATATAGGTAATACCATCTGGGTCTTCCTCTGTCTGGCTTACTTCACTTGTTATAAAGACTTCCAGGCTCATCCATGGTGTAAGTGGCAGGACTTCTGTTCTTAGGTCTGAGTAACATTTCACTGTATATGCTTATGCCACATCTTCTTTATCCATTCATCCCATTGAGGGACACTTCAGTGGTCTCTAGATCTTGGCATTGTGAATACTGCTGTAATGAACACGGGAGTGCAGCTATCTCTTCAACATACTGACTAGAAGTGGGATTGCTGGGTCATATGGTAGTTCTATTTTTAATTTTTGGAGGAACCTCCACACTGTTTTCCATAATGGCTGTACCCATTTACTAGGTGTACCGGTTAATAATGCGGATTTTTTTCAATAGATGGAGTTACACATATGTTGATATATATGCGATTTGATATGTATGCTATTTTGTTGTATTGACAGCAAGCTTCAGAACTTCATATGTCAAATTTTCTGAAGGTGTTACCATCATAGATATTTTTATGCTTAAAAATGTCAAATTTCGTGCCAAAAAAGCATTTGCAGGAAGTTTTTTTGTTGTTGTTGTTGTTTTAAATTTTTTACAGACAGGAAGGGAGAGGGATAGAGAGTTAGAAACATCGATGAGAAACATCGATCAGCTGCCTCCTGCACAATCCCCACTGGGGATGTGCCCGCAACCAAGGTGCATGCCCTTGACCGGAATCGAACCCGGGACCCTTGAGTCCGCAGGCCGATGCTCTATCCACTGAGCCAAACCGGTTAGGGCTGCGGGAAGTTTTAATTCATTACTTTATTTTGAAGAAAAGTGCTGCTGAAAGTTATCGTATACTTCCGGAAGCTTATGGTGAACATGCTCCATCTCAAGATACTTGTGAACGCTGGTTTAAACGCTTTAAAAGTGGTGATTTCGATGTGAAAGACAAAGGACGTCCAGGTCAACTGAAAAAGTTTGAAGACCAACAATTACAAGCATTATTAGATGAAGATGCATGTAAAACTCAAAAACAACTTGCAGGAAGATTAAACGTTGCTCAGCAAACAATTTGCGATCATTTGCAAGCAATGGGAAAGATTTTAAAGGAAGGAAAATGGGTGCCACATCAACTGAATGAAAGACAAATGGAAAACCGAAAAGTCATCAGTAAAATGTTGCTTCATCAGCACGAAAGGAAGTCTTTTTTGCATCGAATTGTGACTGGCGATGAAAAGTGGATTTATTTTGAGAATCCCAAACGCACAAAATCATGGGTTGATCCAGGTCGACCATCAACATCGACTGCAAGGCCAAATGGCTTAGGAAAGAAGACAATGCTCTGCATTTGGTGGGATCAGGAAGGTGTGGTGTATTGTGAGCTTCTAAAATCAGGTGAAACTGTTAATACTGATCGCTACCAACAACAAATAGTCAATTTTTAACCCGTACCGGTTAAAAATGCGGATACTGGTTAAAAATGCAGATTGACCATTTACCAGTTAGTAATGTGGATTTTGTAATTAAAGAAAACACGATAATTTCAAGAGAAACATCAAAAGTGCTTTATTCAAAGTAATGTCCATCGCTAGCTACACATTTCCCCCATCTTTCAGGTAATTTGTGGATAC